GGGTGGTGGTCGTGTGGTCCGGGAACCCATCCGTACATCGCCTGGACGAGTGCAGCTTGGAGTGGAGAATGTCGCATCGATCTTCTTTACAAACGCTCTGTGGAAGATGTGGAAGAAGCAGTGTGCGCAGGAAAAGTTGTCTGGCTAGAGGTGTTTCTGTTACGGCCACGGCACGCAAAGAACGCCAAGCAATAACAGTAAACGGTGATTATGATTGACATTTAGCTTAGAATTGACTAACACGCTATGCGAACGACTCATTGATGTGCTGCAGAGCCGCGGAAATCGACTATCTTTGGCTTAAAACCTCCGCATGGCGAGTGGTCGGTGATTCAGTGACCATAGGCATTTGCTTGCTTTACAGCTGATGCTCTTGAAATAAAGTGCTCAAAGATGCCCCCGCAAACAAAATCCTGACTGACTACTGCATGAACTTCTTCAGCTCAGACTTCACCTTGAAATCGCCGAACTTCCGTCCCAGGTCAGCCACACTGTACCAAAACTTCTCCCGTTGGTCAATGTGCGTGCTGATCAAGGCATAGTCGATGTCAGATCCCGAAAGGCTCGCGACCCCGTGGACTTGCAGCTCCTCAGCCTCGTGGCAGAATATGCTGCCGCACCAAGCCAAAAAGCTCGGCTCACCCAATGGGAGTACGTCAGTGGACGGCAGGCAGTCTCGGCAGACACCGTCCGCCTGCGCGCAGTTTTTGTGAACTCTGTGGATGCCGCAGGACAAAGGGATGGTGGATTCTCTGCCGTAGGCTTCATCGCAGAAGGTACAGAAACTTTGACCGCTGGAGAGAACGACGATCTTGTCTTTTTGTGTAGGGGTTGGTTGAGTGGCATGCAGACGATTTCTTCTGTTGCCTTGATGCCACATAATGATTGGTGAGAGCAACAACTAAGAAACAGCGCTCAACGCTGATAATCCACAAGCTCAGCCCTTGCGACTCGATTTTCGAGCTTCGTATGTGTGAATACTTGGCCAGATATTTATCGGTGAAACGTCCCGGTCCTCTAAATGTTGATGGGAGTACCCAAATTGAGGGTAGCAAGCAAGCAGGTTTCTCTCTCTCTTTTTTCTCCCTCTCTCTCCCCCTCTCTCCTTTCCTTTCTCCTTTCTTTTTGCGCGACCAGAACACCATCCAACAGCTTTGCTCGTAAGTCTACATTGGATCAAATTTCAGTGAGCAATCACGAACGACAACGTCGCAGAACATTTAGTCCTGCATTTTCCGCTCGACCTTGCGGCAGGTACCGCGAACCGCCAGACTATGATACCCGCCAAACCAACCCGACCACGCGTCTGGTTCCCTGACTCTCCGGTATCAGGAGTTTCGAGGCCGCCCAGCACCGAGGAACTTAGCATCGCCAGGGCGTGCGAGGACCACCTTCGCCTCTGTTCTCGATGCAGCCATTCCGGCCACGACAGCTGCCACATCGGGAGGAAGCTGATTGTGTGTCTCGAGCAGTTCCTGCTGATGGGACCAGGAGGGCGAATCCGCTCAACGACCTCATCTACCGACGTAAGGGTCTTTGTAGAGCTGTCTCCGTCTTTTGAAGCGACCTGGGAGGCCCTTTTTGCACAGTATGCCGCCAGAAACTCTCGCGACAGGATTGCTCGAGAGGAAGCAACGAAGGAATCCCGCTCGATCATTGACGAGGACACACATGCTGGCGGACTTCGGATTGTGAGACTCCGTGAGAACCGAGGAACAAGGCAGGACTACATGTATCCGCGAAAGATTTTAGTGAACAGCGAATGGGTGTTTGACCGTCCTCAATGGCGATACTACAACTCGAGAACAAGGATCAAGTATATAGTTTGACGCGAAACAGCCGTTTACTAGGGTACGCATTGTCTGAATTTCGTTCTACACGACATAGAGCACAGTTGTGCAGCAGAAAACGGTACGACCTCCATTCAAGTCTTATCACAGTCATTTCCAACAAAGTTCACCGTCACAAATCTACTTTGGCGCTTTATTGTTCTTGAATCGGTACTATGTTCGGGCGTACTGTCCGAATATATTCGACCAAATGTCAACATCGACGAGGGCGATTAATCTGTTTCAGGCTTTATGAATATTAGATAAAGACAGGCGTAAAGCGCTTTCTTAAAAGAGAAAAAAACAAAAAGTAATAAAAAGGTAAAATAGAGGCCTGTTGGTGCCTATGAGAGCTACTGTTTATCAGCCACTTTGTTGAGGAGGCGATGGCACGCTTGCTAACAACACCACAGGTAGCGGTAGCGATTCAAGTAGACGCGGAGCGTGGAGGCGCCTCACAGAGGCGCTGCTGTCTAAGCCAATCTTTGTCGTTAAAGCGAAAGTCTCCAAAAAGAATTGACCGATGGTCTTGAAGCCTCAGCGGGAGTCTGGAGACGAATTTGTCATTGCCCAGTGCGCTTTTGGCCATTGCGTGATCAGATCGAACTGGAAATGATACTGGACGGTTGTGCGACGGAAACACGTCGGGGCAAAGTGCACGCCGATTGAGGCCCGGCATTGGCTGAGCTCTCAAAATTCCGGTTAGAATGTCTGGTCTTGTTGGATATCGGTCGTACTGAAAGCCATCGGACAGTCAGATCCGCCGGCATGTGCGGGGTGTAGACGTGGAAAAAAGATGCAGACGGATTCCCCTGTGTCTAGTGTTCTGTTATCATAGACCAGTCGCTTGAATTGGCCGGTAGATTGGCGTGTTCACTCGTCACAGCAGGACATTCGTTTGCTCCTGTTGGAATTGAGAAGCTCGACCTTCGCGATGTAATTTTCTTGATCGTCGTTCGTAGCTCACAACCACAGACCTCGGCTGCCGCGCTTTCGGCCGAAGATTTAGAGTGCTTATGCGCATGCTGTAGCATCGAACAGGACTTGGGTTTGCGGCAAGTGGCCGTCCAACAAAAGTGCAACAGAATAGGTGAGCTACAGGCAAGCTACATTGACGACCTACAATGCGTCTTTGTAGTTCAAACACCAAGAAGTCACCAGGACTGAACTTAGTCTATCACGCATGTGAGACATTTAATTGTAGTCTAATTCAAGCTGAGTGGGCCGGAAATTCCTCGCAAACTCCTGGCTGTCGCTGTGAATAGACGAATATTCCGTCGAAGCCCTATCCTCTCCCGACAGATCATGCGTCTCCACGCTCTCCACAGATGCCGTGTCGGAGCTTGCTAGAGCCCACCTCGCGTACTCCACCGTCATGGCTTCGCTCACGTCGGCATTTGGAGAGTGCAAAAGGGGGGACGTCCAAGGCGTTGAAAATGTCGTAGGCAGCGGGGCAGTGGATTGTTTGGACTGAGCCGCTCCCGGTTTGGGAGTACTGCAGACTCCACTTACAGACCCAGTAGCAAAAGCGCGAAAAGCGATCGCGACACCTTCTTAGAAAAAGAGTAAAGTGGCGGCGCCACTCGCGAACGGCTTCGAGAATGGCAGGCTCGCCGGTTAGCAGGAAGGCGAAAAGACGCATTTCGATTGTTCTAGCAAAACAAGCCGTAGAGGTATTCTGACGTAGCTCTTATAAATCTCAACAAGTAGTCACTTGGCGTAGTCCAAGAGAGTAGAAATCCCACCACTGGTTCTCAGTAAGAGGTTCTCTTGTCAAATAGGACCCAAAATCACGGTCTAGACCGCCACTTTCAACCCGCTCCCCTTTCTTTTTATTTAGCTTGGACTTGGGGTTCCGAGCCTCTCTGCAGCTTCAGTTACGCACCCACACGCTCGCAAGTTTCTCTGCCCAAATTCTGTTCCATTGGGTCGGACGGCCTTTCCTCGACAGTCGCAGCGCTTGGAGAACAGCTGACGCCACGCCAAAGGCAGCGGGCGCACGCTTGTACTACCTCACGAGCGTCTGAAGAGTGGTGATCTTGTCGGTACACCCAACAATCGTAGCCTTTCCCCGTACATTCCGCACATGGTGAGTTGGACTTGGTTCCAAACCCACCCTCCATGATCTGACTCATGTGATGATAAGTCTTTTTCCTTGGAGACCTTGCCCATCGTCTTGGAGAAATGCTCCAGAACTTTCCTCTAGCCAGGGGTGGAGTGTAAAGTGTAGCTGGTGTTCTCGTCTGCAACGCCGGGTGCGGAAGTAGTCTGACAATCTTGCCCGCGCGGCTTGTAGGCGAGCTCAAGATTGCTCCGCGTAAAGGCGACTTGTCACTTCTCGTTGCAAAGCCCTCTCGCGGGAAATTGGTTTCCTCGAGCGCGTCGTGGTGGTGGAGGAGGTCAGGAAAGCGAAGCTCCGTCCTCGAAGGAAAGGGGACTGTGTACAGATCGACTTTCTCAAGTACGGAAGACTTATGTGGATCCCTCAAAGCCTTGGACAGCTCGGTAGGCCTGCGCTGCTTTCTCATTGGCGTATCGAAATCGCTTAGAGTTTTTGCGATGGACGGATCGGGATGAATCGAGCTGACTGGACGGAGAGTCAAGCTTTATTAAGAGGAACTGGCACTCTCATTTTCTCCGTCTCTTCCCCAAGGGAAGCGGGTTTGTTTCATTTAACATCATCCACACTGAACCGCTTTACCTTTTTCCTGTGTGCGGGACCGCTGGTCATGTTGCTTCCAACAGAGCTCATATGGCAAATACTGGGCTTCCTTAGCGATGCCGATTTAGCAAATTTTCGAGCCACCTGCAGACACTTTGACCACACGTCTTTGGAGTACTTCGGTCGTCGACGCTTTCGATCCAAGCAGTTCATGCTGTCCTGCGACGGACTCAAAGCTCTGTGCGGTCTCGCAAGCGGCCGATTCGGTCGTTTCATCGAGACTCTACGCATTGGATCAGAGGCTCTTGCCTACAGCAGGCCGACAGCCACGAGAGCACAGCGCGCCAGGCTGCGGGAGCTATACGAAGACCAGACATACCTCAGACAGAGAGGGCTTGACGCCGCATTGCTCGCGGTCGCGCTGACGAACATGAAGGCATCCCTCAGGGAGATCGTTGTGTCCGGCGCCAGCTCAATCGGTGGTCCTCGAAGCTGGGGCGCGCTCGAGTTGGAAGAGGAAGTTGGGGGTGCGATAGTCCTCGAACAATCGCGCACCCTTTCCACGGTTCTGGCCGCAATAGCCTCGAGCCAAGTTCAACCGCGCGTAGTCAGAAACGAGCCGCTGATCGGTAAAGACGGGATAGGGGCCCATCGCGATGCGATCGCCATCCCGCGGGCAGGCATGGCACTTCTATCCGCTGCATTCCAGCGTCTGCGTATACTGCAGCTCAACCTCTGGGTTCAAAGCACCGCTTCGGGAATCACAGTCAGGAGCCTGTCCGCGGATCTGATAGATCTCCTTCTCGAGTTGGCGAGCTTGGAGGAGCTTTATCTCGGACTGCAGCGCGTGCTGGCCGTTCCAGTTCTGGGGCCGGAAATAGGAGCAGTCGCGTTCTCCAGCAGGCTTCGGAAACTGCACATCACTGGTGGGCAGGTTGAAGAGGCCACATTACTAGCGCTGATCCAAAACCATAGACAGACGCTTCAAAGGGCCACATTTACTAGAGTCTCGCTGCGGGGAGGATGGAGAAGTCTCCTTGGGCGGCTGGGCTTCGAGGTCAGTTCGGGGGACTTGGAAGCCAACATCCAGCCAGCTGTCACAGTGCTGGGCGCCTGGGACAGTCTCGCCTGTCAGGAGGTAACCATGGTGGCCGGGGACCCCTCTAAACCGTCGACTGCGAGGCGAGACACAGGCCAACGGTGAGACAGGGTTCTTGAGAAGTTGCAGATATGTCGACTACAGGCTCGGTACGCTGGAGAAGTAAGCTGACTTGAGGATAAGAGGGGACGAAAGCTTGAGAAGGAATGTGGAAAAGTCACCTAACATGGGATCCAGCCTGGCATCTCTTCTGCGAGTCCTGGGCAGCCTGCTGAAAGAGACCTTTACGATGACTTGATCGTGTTAGATTGCCTTGACTGAAATCCGCACACTCGAGCATATATGAGCTGCACTCTATCTTGTTGCGCTCTTTCGAACAGTGCAATTAATTCGCCTCCCTCTATCTCTCTTTGTACGGCTTATTTCAGACTTGTCGCCTGTACATAGGAGTGACAATATTTTGTTTCATTTACTAAGGCTCAGTGTGACTGGCGTAGGTCTTTGCCAAAAAAAAAAAAAAAAAAACGCCCTCTTGTAATCTCAGAACCTCCTCGTTCCTCGGTTCCATCAAAGCTACTGTTCGCGCTATTCTCTGTGGATTTACATCATTGCCACGCTCCCAAGCTTTCGACCACTGGGGAATGCCAAGCAAGCGGAACGGCCACTACCAGAGGCAGAAGATGCCGATAACGAACAACGATTGGGATTCAAGAGCTCTACGGGTCAAGTGTGCCGAAGAATGGTAGTTGGCACGAACAGCCTATAACCTTCGATCATTAGTCGTGACGAGCATTGTTGCACTGCGGCTGCAGTCCGACAGGTGGTACAGTCTGCTACACTCGAGTCTGGCAGATGGTTCGCACTGGCAATTGCTCGGGCTTCCTGATATCGCTAGCTGCCTGTGCAGGGTCAGTCGTGACCGGGACGCCGCATGGCCATGGTCTGCGCCGGTCTGAGCATCTCCTGACTGGCTCGTGCACCAAAAAGTCAGCAAATGACGGTATAAAGCCTCGAAAGCAAGATGGTCAACCATGATGCCATCTGTGCCGCCCTACAATGAGCCCGCACACGACTGTCTCCTCTTCCGCCATGGATGAGTCAAGTGTCAAGAAAAGCAAGACCGTCTTACGGGATGAAGTGTCGGTGTTCTCGCCTCCTGTATCTCCTCGCTCGGGTGCGGTTATACGTAAGCACTCGACCTTAGCAGAAGTGGTTTTGATGCTGACCAATCGTCCCGCCGTCAGTCCCTCGAATTGAGGCCATGGATAGAACACGCCCAGCGAGCAGCCAAGCGCCGGATAGGCCTCAAGAAGCTTCCTTCGTCCGCCAAAGTCCCAATTTCTCGCGTGATGGTTTGCTTGCCAACACGGTAGCCGTGGAACCGAAAGCTGTCTCTCAGACCTTTCTGCCAAGAGCGCCGGTGTTTATCGATGAGAGTATTTTCCTGAACCCCAGGGGAGAACGTAAGCTTCCAGTGGCCCTCCACCTATGGTTGCACCAGCACTGCCCTCCCGGCATGAGCATCATCATCACCGTAAGTGAAGCCCTCATCGCTAGCCGTGTGGCCTCCTTGACAAAGAGCAGTGGACTCGGGACGGCCACATTCATGTCCAACTAGCAGTAAGGTCGTACTCTGCTGGGTACAGCCCCTTTGATGATGTTTTGAAAGCGGCCATCCGCGACGGAGGCCTAAGCAAGGTGATCTCGCTCCCTGTTCAGCAGTGGCTGTCCCGCAATGTTCAGCCTGGACAGAGCATCATTTGTCAAGTGAGTGGCGCGATCGAGCACTGGGAATGGGTACCAGGTGCTGACAGCTCCCAGCTCTTTTTCGACGGTCGGATCGGCTGGCACCACGCACAATACTCACAGCAGGAGGTATAGGGGTTTCAGTGAGGCCGAATGTTGGGTTTCTTGCATACACGTTCGTGCAGCGTGGTTTAGTTATTGAAATCTCCATGCAGATGTTGACTGTCACGAATCCATCCCGTAAAATTCTACATAATCATTTCTTCCCGAGCCTGTTTCCAAGCATGACAGTATGGAACTACCGGATGACGATACAGTCCTTGCACCAAGCGGAGCAGCTATTTGCTGATGCTCTTTGCAATCGCGCTCATCGATGGCCAATGGCCAGAGCCCGAAGCAGCGACCAGCAGTTCTCCTGGGGCTTGACTGCATGCTTCGTAGCCGGCCACCGTTGCTAGCATGACAGAAAAGCAGGGATGCCGAGCAGAGACAAAGATCGACCCAAAGTCCTGGGGCTGATCAGTTTGAAGGCCGATCCTTGTTTACAGTGACCCATCACCCATCACCACAACCCACAACCCGATGAACGCGGTCCGCAAACCTCGCCGAAGATGCGCCGTCTCCTTGGCCGCTCACACCGTTATCACATCGCTTAAGAGACCAGAAAACCTCGGCATGTCTTCGGCGGCATTATCAACACTGCAGCCTGGGCTGCATTGCCCCGTGTCTGCGGCACAGCACCACAAAGGGCCAGATGCTGTTGCGGCCTAACGATCCGTAAATCCGACAGCATAGGATCCTTGGAGCTTCGCCCTTGGGACGCAGGGGCTGGAGAACACAGACATGCTGGGGGGTTGCTCAGGTAACTCCAGTGCATGATCATTTACCACGGCGTTTCCCAACCGCCCGATGTTCGATACCAGCGTTCGGATGGGACAGCAGGGCGTGAAGTCTGTCCGCCAGTCCCAACCGCCACCGTCCCTCCCTCCTCTCGCCCATCGCGAAGGAGGCAGCCGTTAGTCATGGCCCTCACGGCGCGGCGTTCGTCCCCTTGATGCGCAAACTTACTCGTGTGAAGTCAACGTCAATTTGTTCCTTTCCACCATCCCAAATCAATAGCGCCTGGCAGTTCGTCCTCTATCAATCCGTTCGCATCAAGAACGAACGCCATATATCGGAGCGCACGGGAAAAAGGCAGTTGGGTAAGTGCATTTATATGCCCCATTGCGAGGCCGACGTACCTCTGTGGCCAGCGCACAGGGCCTCACCATGACCGCCTCCGCGTTCTGCCTGCTTGCTTTCTCCTTGTCCGCTGCTGTCTGCACCATCTGCATCTTATTCTGGGCTTACAATCACCGCCGTCGTGTCCTTTGCATTGGGTACGCGATCAGCGCTTGCTTCGCTTTCGCTCTTGTTGCCTTGAGCGCGTTAGCGACCTCGTCAGACACTGCGCACCTCAGTTCAGCCATCGATGCTTTCTTGTGTCTTTTTGTTGGTGCAAATCCACTCGTCCACGTAGTACCGCCGCACTCCTTTCGACCTTGCTGTTTGCTGACTGGATACAGTCAATGTATGTGAACCACACCGTAAACAATGGCTTCTCTCTGCGGTACCTTCTCAAGGAAATCCACCAAGGATGCTTTCGCAAGGACTTTTGTCTTTCGTTTGAGCAGTGTGTCTTCTTGTACGCCTGTATTTCTTGCACGGCAGCTTCTGGGATCTGTACGGCTGCAATGCTGCTGGGGTATGCCACTCAGACCGTTCTGCCTACTGGGGTGGGCTGATGGTGGACAGCGTCTCGTACAAGAACGACATACTGCGCGTAGCAGTACTGTTTGTAGTAGCATTCGAGTATTTTGTCCAAGCCCCTATGTTTTTCAAATGGACGTTCCGCAGACTCCGATACGAGACTTTATACAACCACTTCGGCTGCTATACTTTTACGACTTGCGGATTCCTTGCGTTGGCGATTCTGGCCGCTTGCGGTCGACAAGCAAAAGCAGCAGATTGGTATTTTTGGGTTTGTTCTACATTCAACCTGCTGCCTCCATTTTGGTTTGCAATTCCTTTGGGGCATATAAGCTAATACGCACAGGCGGCCCTCCCCTTGACTTCCGTCACTCAGTGCTGGCTGTCAGTAGTACACGAGTGCCACACACGAAGGCTTCGCAATAAGCAACGGCTTCCAAACATGGAATCGAGGAAGGACGCGGAAGTCATAAGTCGACAGGTTGCATCAAGCTGCAGGGAGGCCGCAGAGGCGGATCGGCAGACCGAAACGTGGCTTCAAAGACAAGTGGTTACTCGGGGTCGGCTGGTAAGTCGTGATACTATATGCCCTTGCGTCTATGATCCTCACATTCACAGGCCATAGAGGTTGTCCGAGGGTTTCGCATTGAACGCGAAACATCCGACCGAGCTGCCGTAGGGCATTTCACTCGGATTGGCAGTGGACATTGGGTTCCGAATGCTCCAGAAAACCCATGTGCCGGGGGCGAATGATGATGATGAAGAAGAAGAAGAAGAAGAAGAAGAAGAAGAAGAAGAAG